TAAACTAATGATCGTGGTCTTGCAATCTTAGTCTGCTCAGCAAGAAGTGTAGGCAACCCAGAGAGAGAGGAAGACTGATGGTCTCTTTCAATCCAGATGCAAACTCTGCTGTTACCAGCTGTAATCTGGGGCAATTCACATGAAAGCCTCGTTATTCTTACATGGATGATAATGATAATACTACTTATCCGGAGCCTAAAATGAATACAAAACAGCACATTGCTAGAAATACAATAAGCACAAATATTGTGGATGTGTGTGTGTGCATGTGTGCATGCATGTGTATTAGTCCTAACACTTGAATTCAGTGCATAAGTGCTATCCTTAAGCTTTTTTGGGTTCAAGGCTAGCCCTACCACGTGATCCACAGCTCTACTTCCAGCTTTTCGGTGCTTAATTGGAGCTAAGAGTCTCAGACTCTCGTGCCCTGGTCTTCAAGCTACTAGGGTTATAGGTGTGAGCCACCAGCTCCCAACTAACTGTTGTTATTTTTATATTTTTAAAAATCAAAATGAAAATATCAATAAATCTGGTGTTTTCTAGAATCCATAAATCAGCACTGAGTTTTTCCCCCCAAACCCTTAAGTAAGCCTTAATGTTATAAACACTTATAAACAGTGGCTGGCAGTACTCTGAATCATAGATTATGAAAGCATACCTTGGGCAGTGAAATATTACATACTGCTTACTTGACTAAGACACAAACGCTTACAATTTTACTACTCATATCACAGAAGAATTCTTGTTTCAAAAAGTAGATTACAAGCCAGTTACCAATGACTTACACCTGTAATCCTAGCTACTCAGGAGGCTGATACTTGAGGATTACAGTTCAAAATCAGCCCAGGCAGGAAAGTCCGTGAGACTTTATCTCTAGTTATCACCAAAGGACCACAAGATTTTTTATCTCAAGTGGTAGAACACTAGTCGTGAGCAAAAAAGCTCAGGGGCAGTAGTACCCAGGCCATGGATTCAAACCTGATGGCTGTCTCACACACACACCACACACACACACACACACACACACACACACACACACACACACACACACACACACACACACACTAACAAAGGGCTGGGCATATGGTTCAACATGGAAGCTTTTCTAGCCATCATAGGCCCTGAATCCTAACTTCAGGACTAGTCCCCCCCAAGTCAAATGTTACCAGGGAAATTATATCAAAGATGTTAAACACAGCAACTCTTGTTCATTATCCTTATTTCCTAAATACAATTTCCTTGAAATTTATTAAAAAATTAGCATTTGTTCATATGATGTATATTCATTTTTCAACATTGACAGATGTTAGCTTTCCAACAGAAGAGCAAACGTACTTCAGTGAATGCTGTCTGCTATTAAGGAAATGAATTTAGGATACTGTAGAATGTATGTCACAAGATGATCTGGAAAGAGTGTACTCAGAGAATGTTGTATTCACATCATCATTCTACAGGTACCATCATCAATGCTGAGATGGCTTTTGTGATGAGCAAAGATGTGTACTTATCTCTAAGAGTAAATGGTGACATAATGTTGGAATTACTTCATATAAACACATCTTAATCTCCCTTCAGTTACTTCAACTATTAATCTATTCTATGATGTATTGAAACTATTTATAAAACTTAGAAAGTCACTCATGGTAGAATGTCAAATAATCTAAAGTCCCTGGGGAAATGCTCTATACATTTTATAGTTTTTAATATTCCTCTTCATTTCTCTTGAAAGCATGATGCAGGTTTTACTATAAATTTAATAGTTAGTAGCATACATTACTAGTAATGCCTTATGTCATTTCTTGTGTTATTCGAACTGAGAGAAATTTTAAAAAATGGTATATTCATTTCTGAACCTATTTTCACAAAATGTTTTTGAGAGGCAATATACTCAAAGATGGAGAGCATGGAATCTTGAACTAGACCCCAGGGCTCTAAATCCTGTGCTATCAATTTCTTCTGTGTAGTGTCTAGTGAATTAATTAACCTCTACCCTTTTCTCATCTGTAAGATAGTGAAATGCATCTATGTGTCTTATAAATTGGTATTACAGAATCAATGTTATCTTCTATGAAGTATTTGGATTGCTGCCTATCTTGGTATAAGGGCTATAAATCTGATCCTTACTAGGAATATTTCAAAGCCCTGATTACTTTGCTGACTAAGAGGCCATTTTCCTTATGGTATCAAATTTAGAAGTATTTGGAAAACTATTTTCCATAAAAAGTCTGTCACAGAATTGAACACTTTTTAAAACTTTAATTAGTAGTTGAGGTAGATTTCTGTAGTTTAGGGAGAGCTGTTTGAAAACATAGGCAAATTATGAAATTTTGTTGAGATCAACTGTTTTACAAAGATGATAAATCAGCTTTCTTAACATCACTACCTCAGTAAGCCAAGATGTCTTAGAGGAAAACAAGAAATATCATTTCCTGTTTATGTGTCTTGTCTCTCTGAAAGAGAACTCGGTGTCCTTACATGAGAAGATATTCATTTCTAAAACAGTAGAATTGCCCCCTTGATTTCGTTTTCTTTTGATGTGGTCAAGACAGAGTTTTAATTTATCCATAATGTTTTCATCAAGAAATTCAGGATCACATCCACCAAGTTGACAAATATTTTTCATCAACAGGCTGTTAAAGAAGCATTGTACCTTAAACAAAAGAAAGCAACGTCAAACAAATGTATTTTTTTTCAGGATACAATTTATGATAGTTCTACAAACTGGTTTTCTTTGCCAAATAATTCCTTTCAAGTGGTAATTTTTCTTTTTAGGATTACGTAATATCTCTCATTTTATGCCAGAAAAATAGACAGGATATGAATTTGACATCACACACAGGGCAGAGTATGGAATGGCCTCTGCAGTGCTATTTACTTCCCCAGAAGATCAGGGGATTTGGCAAGTTGACATTTGAAACCAGCTGGCTGAGAGCCTTGCATACTTGAGAAATTAATGTGTTTAGATTTCCAAATGAACATGTGCATATTCTTCTAATAAACCTGTTCACAAGGCAGAGAACATTGTGTCCACCTAGATTTTAGAATTGCCCTTCTAAAGAGAGAATTTCATAAATCAACACAATTTCTTACAGGATTATTTGGCCTAGCTGAACCAGAGGTCTTTGAATAATGGACCCCATGAGGTATTTTAGTACTTGTGGACTGAAATGAATTACCAAATGGTTCTCCTGGGACTTACTCTAAAAAACTGTGTCTCTCTGTATCTGCACCTTATGTCTGTAGCCTATCTAAAAAAAGTCTTTTTTTAAAAAAAAGAATGCACTTAAATTAAGTAGTGTTGCTGGTTATGGTTGTTGTTGTTAAAGCTTAAAATCTTCTCTCATTCATCGTTGTATTCCCACCTCACACTGGAGAAGGGTAAGTAGAGGAGGGAAAGAATAGGAGCATGTAATAATAGTTACTAATCACTAATATATATTCAGTATTTTCTCTGTGTCAAGCACTTGTCAGAACACCTTATATGTACAAATGCATGTACTGTTACATCAACCCTAGAGTAGGTCCTATTAATTCTACTTGGAGCTGAGGAGGTTGTAGACTGTTGACGCTGAGGTTTAGGTAGACAAATCCTTGAGATTATTTTCAGTAAAAGAGGCCAGCTAAGCCAGTGTCAAGGCTTCATGCTTGTAATTCTAGCTCCTCAGATGGCTGAGATCTGAGGATCACAGTGCAAAGCCAGCCCAGGCAGGAAAGTCCAAGAGACTCTAATCTCCTTTTAACTACCAAAAAGCCAGAAATGGGGCTGCTGTGGCTCAGAGTGGTAGAGCACTAACTTTGAGCACTTTTAAAAGCTCAGGCACAAAATACATACATACATACATACATACATACATGCATGCATGCATAAATATTCACATACATACTCACACATGCATGTATGAGTGTATACATATCTAAAAAGGTCTGCTAGAGAGTTTCTCTCATTCTTGGTAAATCTAAAGCTGTCTTAGTAACATATTTTTCTAACAAAAAGTATTCAAAAGTGATGGATAATGAGGAATACCAATATATCAGTGCTTTCTGGAGCTGTGGGGAATGCTGGCACACACCGTCTAGGTTATCCTTGGTGTAGCTCAAAAGCAGAACTTCGTTTGGTGGGCATGGGTCACACATCCTGGTTCTGATGAGAATGGAGAAATGCCACAGCGGGGAAAATGATTCCATGAACTGAAGTTTCAAATTCTCCTGATTTGCTCCACTAACTCCTGCTGCATCTTTATTGACTATTTCCTTTGCATAGTTACAAAGAAGACTAAAATGTGTGGCACTGCTGAGTACCACTGACTTATGCCCGTAATCCTAGCTAATTGGAGAGTCTGAGATTTGAGGATCCCCACTTTGAGACCAGCCATGGCAGGAAAGTCCATGAGATCCTTATTTCCAATTAACCAGCAAAAAGCCAGAAGTAGAAGTGTTGAAGTAGTGGTAGAGCAGTAGCCTTCATCAAACAACCAAAGGGACAGTGTCAGGACCTGAATTCAAGCCTCAATACCAGCACAAAAAATAAAAATAAATAAATAAATACATAGTAGACCATTTCAGTACTCAGTTTTCCCATGGCTAAAATACTAACTCTCCTTAGTACTTCTCTATTAAATTTTCTGTTAGTGTGATTTGGGAGAAAATTTACCTTTGGAGATTTCATATTTATTTTATAGCATTTACTCTCTTTGTAATTTATCTTTTGGAAGTCTGGGTCTAGAAATATAGGTCCCTTCTAGACCTCCACAGTCCTCTCAGAAGAAATAAATAAATGTCATGGGAATTTTATATATAAGTTTCCTGCAAGCCTGCCCGCAAACAAACTTTTGTCTAGGGGTATAACTTTTTAACAGTAAACAATATACCTTAGCTAGAGAAAAATGACATCTGAATAGATGCTGTTCACTTCCAAAGTAACTTTGTTTTCCCCCACACAATAGACTATTAATAGCATATCACAAATTTCCTTTAAAATAACTTACTTTGAATTCTTTCAGGTTAACATTAACACTTTCCTGTCCAATGGATCTCAAGAATTTTCCAATGGATGTACAAACATGCATTATGCAACTGGAAAGTTGTAAGTATGAATAACTTACTTTTTCTCAGAATGCTTTGAAAAGATATGTGAAGCCATCAATGGTTCAGATAGACTTGTAATTTTTATTTCAGTCATATATTGACAAAAATGTTCATGTTTCAGATATTGATAGTAAGAATATCTGCCAACATATGCACTCTATATTTCTGAACAAATTGAGGATCCTGAAAAAAGTTTATAAGCTTGAAAATCAAACATAAGAATGCATACAACAAGGGTTGGGAAGGTGGCTCAGTGGTAGACTGCTTGCTTTGCATGCATGAGGCCCTGGGTTTGATTTCTCAGCATCACATAAGCAGAAAGAGTCAGAAGTGGAGCACTGTGGCTCAACCGGTAGAGCTCTAGTCTTGAGCTGAATTGCTCAGGGACAGTGCCCAGGCCCAGAGTTCAGGCCCTATGACCCACAAACAGAAAAAAAAGACTACATACAACAGCCAAAGTAGAAAGGACAATAATCATAAAAAAGCTACCATTTAATTATTGAGTGCCAACTATAGACCAAGCCTTCTGCGCATATCACTTCTCTTTTATATTTAAAACAGAGATTTTGTTATCCCAGTGTTTTCTGATGTGGAAAGGACTAGTTTGTGTGACTGGGTATTTACCTCAAAGGTATAATTTTTTTAATGACAGTTCTTCTGATTCCAAAGTTTATGTCTCTCCCATTAATTGGTTTTTGTAATTTTACTGGAATGTGATATGTGTGTGTGTGTGTCATCTAAGAAGAAGACATTTCTTATAGTTTACCAGAGATCAAGCATTCTTGTAAGGTCCTTCTGTAACATTGGATCCATATTTATTACTGACTAATGTTAACACAGATGAGAAGTCAGGTGTAGTCAACATATGTAGTCAACCCTCCTTTACTGTTTGTGATATCATACAAAAAACATTTGATATGCAATATTTCTCTTGTGTGACTACATATCTTGGGAGAGGGGCAGGGATGGGTGTCGGTTATGACATCTTCCCTTAAGAAAACTGAAAATGAATCTTGGTACTTCAGGCAACTCTTGTAATGTGGTGGAGTTGTCACTAGATGGCGCCCATACTTTGTAGGGGAACATCACCCACCCAACTCATTCCCCACCCAATATTGCTTTTCTTAAAGAAGTGGAAATACCAATCTCTCTGATTGATAACTCTGGCTTATAACATTTAAATGTATTATTTGCACAAGTAGATGTTAAACATTAAACAGACATTGATAAAATGCTAAAGTAAGAGGGGAAAGTAAAAGAATTTGCTACTTAGCAATATAAATGGGAACGTACTCAGGGTAGAATTTGACCTATACTATAAAGAAAAGCAATTTGAGGACAGGTTGACTGCATACTTTGATTGCCATGCTGGGTATAGAAGAACAAAACAAAACATGAATACAGTAATCTTTTGGTGCCACAATTGCTAAGCAAGGGATTGTGGTTGTTATTCAATAGACAGTGAAGTAATGATCAAGATTCACACAGAAAGAAATTTATTTAGCCAATGCTATACCTCTTACAGGTTATTTTACCAAATGAGCTAAGATTGTTTAAGACGTTTTCATAAGATTCTAGAAAAAGAGAAAGTAGGAATAAATATCAGTGATAGGAATGGTAAAAATAATAGAGACTGAGACAAAGTAGATAAAAGTAGAGATAAAGAGATTGGATGTATGAAATCATAACACGATTCCAGCACAAAGAGTAAAAGTTGATGGAAATATGAAAAAATCCAATCTCGATATGTGTGAAGTTTGGGAAATGTAGGTACATGGCTGGAAGGAAGATTTAGAACTGAAGATAAACTGCTAGAGGCCAGGTCCATAGTGATTCAGTGATTCAATTGAACTTGTTGATGAAGGCAATTAGGGAAGAAAGCAAAACAAGAACCGTAAAGCAAAAGCAAGAGCAGATCCCTAAGAAATGCCTGCATTTGGAGGTCATTTGGGAGAAATTCCGGAAGAATTGTCATACCTGACAAAATAAATAGAATTTTATTCAATCTTTAAGGAGAAGGAAAGGATGAGATCTGCTTAAAAATATCAAGCACTAAAAATATTTTAAAGAATTGATAAAAGAACTACTATTATTATTGATAAAGACCAAGTTGAGTAGGTTAATCAGAGTCAACACTAGACGTCAAAAAAGTTGAAGGAAAGAGACGGGAAGGATAGGAGGAAGGGAAGGAAGGAAGGAAGGAGGGAAGGAAGGAAGGAAGGAAGGAAGGAAGGAAGGAAGGAAGGAAGGAAGGAAGGAAGGAAGGAAGGAAAGAAGGAAGGACAACAAAGAAATTTTGAGCTGGAACCCAAAATGTTGTTTTATCAAATGACAAATAGAATGGAAGAAAATAAAATACAATAAAATGCTATATATATATATATATATATATATATATATATATATATAAGAATAAGAAGTAAAACAGCTCTCAATATTACATTGAACAAAATAAATGAGTGTTAAGGTCACATAGAAAATCGATTCTTGATCTAGATGTAATACATATTCAAACCAAACACTATATTGTCAACTAAGCATTTATTTTTTTAATTAGGAAGAGAAAATAGAAAAAATATGTAATTGTAAACTACATCTAAGGAAAAACAGAAATATATTTATATATGTAAATATATAGTCTTAATAGGACTTTTTGCAGGGTTTGGTAAACATTTCAAAAGAAAATTGATAACTGTGGAATTATACAATTAGTAGTTAAGGCAAATGAAAGTCCTGGTGATGATTTTGCACAATTATTTCCTAATAATCTCTACTGTTTTCTAAGTTGTTTCATAATTTAAAAGTCTGGATGAGGCTCAAGATAATATTGTGTTTTTTATTGGCCTACTCAGAGATACATATGGTTCTTGTTTTCTTGTTACTTCAACCTCTGGAGTTATAATGTTGAGTAGAAACCAAAACCCCAATCAAGATAAAAAATATTCACTGATAAACTAGCTACTTACAAAATAAATCAGTTAAAACATTAAATATTTTGTTGTACAAAATACCAATATGTAAGATTTCATTATCTGCCCATGTCTTTGTAGTTGAATTATTTTTCATTATCAGATATTCTCACCATGTAGAAATATGAATAAAATATGAATAAAATTAGCAATATGAGAGGTTATTGTCACAGTAGTTTTATATCCTTCATATTTATTATCTGATTTAATTCTAATTATGATTTAGTGAATATTTCCATTTCAAAAACAAGCAAATGAGGATTAGAGAGGAGATGCAACTTTGCCAGATTCGTAGGCCTCAAAGTGGATACAGCTACAAATTAATAACCCCCACCTTATCACACAACTGTCAATCATTTTTTAATCTGTGTAATGAAATATGTGTGCCTTGTGAATGGTATTGTTAAAGTTTTTTCTAGTCAAAGAGGCTCAGTACTTCCATTTGCTTTTGTATACTTAGACTGCGGTTTCCACCTGGCCTTTTGCTCTCCCTTGGTTGTTTAAAATTGGTCTAAACCACGCCCTGTAGAGTAGGAGCTCTTATGATGGCAGCACCAATCATTTTGTGTTTTTAAAGTCAATATGTATATGTGACAGATGGCTGCAAAACCTTTGACTCAGGCTATAGCTACAATCAGCTAAATGCCACAAACAAGTTCTATGTCCATTCCATATTTTCCTAAGGGTCTCATTTGAATAAATATATTATTATAAATACACTATTTTTAATATTTGCTTAAATAGTCTTAAACTATAATTCTGTTTGATGATTCATAGTTATCCTGATTGTCCAGAAAATTGGATACCATATTACTACACAGTCAACAGAGGGTGAGCGTTAAAAACCTGCAACAATGCTGCACAGATATTCTTAATGATTTAATCATTGCTGAGAAAAATGCTGTTGTAAATTCAGTAGACATCAGATAGACAGTCATCAATGACTACTGATCGAATCATTTGTGAAATCTTTGTTCATAAGGGTACAATTCATCAAACAACTTGCTGAAGACATATTCATAGTATGACTTAATGTTCCAGTATAACTGGTAATAAGATCAAGGCACAATATTAATGTGGTATGACTTCATTTATGATTCTAATGCTGGCCTCTACTTATTGCAACTTTTCCTGCTTTACCCACTTGCAAATAAAATTTATTCTAGAATTGTCTGGATTTGGTATTAAGCACCCTTATCTCTAATTCACAAACTCTACCTACCAATAAACTTTAATAGGTTCTCAGAGTTAACCTCTTAATTGTGCTACAATTTTTTAAATCACCCATCTGAGATTTATTGTAGCTTTAGTAATGTAATACACAAAATATCTCCATTTTCTTCAGAGAGAAGACAAGGAAAGAAGTTAATTATTTTCTCCTAGCAATGTTCCCACCCCTTCTCTATTTTTACAAAAGTAAACAATCTGTTTCTTGTTTGTATTTCAATGCTAATATCGATAAAACTAAACATGAGGCCTGAATACATAAAGTATTTTAAATTTTTTTTATTTTTTTCTCCTTGACCTATTACTATCAAGCGATATGATTAACTATTTGTTCAACAACATGGTTTATTGCTGCTAATTATGCCAGTGTGATAACTGTGAGATAAAACTTGCTCTTTCCTTGGCCTAAAATGTGTTTCCTGCAGATGTACACATGGTTTAACCTTTTGCCCCATTCCTCCAATCATGCCTGAACATCACTTCAAAATTAGCTCCCCACACCTCCATCACTTCCTCAACCATTATGTTATATTTCCTTCCTAATGCATATCGTGTGCAATGATTATTTTGGGTTTTTTCTGTTTTCATTTTTATTGCCTTCCCACCCCAACCTCTACGTGCCAGACAGGGAAGTTGTCTTTCTTAAAGTCCATTGTAATCTCCGGAAAGCCCACTGCATCCAAAATGAAGAGAATACTCTCATCTTTGACTACAGTTAATAATATGGACATATCTTACTCAGGGCAATAAATACAGCATGTTCTTGAACATGTTTAACACGAGGACTCATTAAATAGAACAT